ACTTATTTTTGGGGAAACAAGATTTTAGGGTGATCAGCCCAGTTGGGCACCCCACCCCTGGTGTACAAGAACTGGGAAGCTGACAGTGGCTGGCAGCAGCTGCAGCCCACTGGTCCCTTGGTGCACTCCGGGGCTGCGCAGGGCAGATGGCATGGAGCGGAAGGCAGGCGATCCCGACATGCTGCATGGACTACAAGCAGGCCGAAAGATGCGAAGATGACATGTCCATCCGCAACTCTGGCCCACCGCCACTCAGCTTTCCCGGCACATCCGGATCATCTGCTTCCCCCCCACCTCAGCTTCTACTTGCTGCTCACATCTGCTGCACAGGATGCGGCTGCTGTCAGACACAGTCAGACCACACACATTTGCCATCTCCTATGCTGGCCATGCCTATGGCTTATTTTGGGGGTACAGTTTATATTAGGCACACATGTAAAAACAAGCTAGGGGTTATTTTCAGGATAGGTCTTATTTTGGGGAAAACATGGTATATTTCATATCAGTCTTTACGACCAAAGACTTAAATGCTAAGACTCAAAGTAATCACTATTCTTCATCCCAGAAAAGAATTGATTTCAACCAAGAATCGTAATAATTTATAGTTAAATTAAACTGTATGATCTTTTCAAAACTTGGTCTTCATTTCCCTCTTTTTCTCACATACCACTATGAGCACGGGAATGAAAAAGAAATGGAGCATTCTCCAACTCCTTAAAAATTTTATGAATGTGTCCAAAATTAATTATGCACATACTGCAGTTTCCATCCTCACTATATTAATTCTGCATCACTTCAGTGCTGCAAAGGGTTATGTTCAGAAGAGAATTCAAAAATCTCTAAAACCATAAAGTGGTTTGATTCAATATCCATGGCTTTCCTGATGAAGGTTTTCTTTCAAGTATGACATTAGTCAGTGATTCAGCCTTTAAAAAAAGTTTGTCTATTGTACAATCAACAAGATTTTCAACATATAAAAATAATTAAACAGGAATGCTGCTAAAATCTAAGAAAAAGTGGCCTATACCTCCTTTAAAAACACAGTTGTGTGCCATTGGCATCCCTGGAGAAGGGCAAAGAGAGCTTCATGACATGCTTTGGGATGCAAGCACCAAAAAAAAGTGGGAATATTTTTTTCATCCTGTTTATTTTTGTTTTTGTTTCCTTGGTCACAATTGTCTGATGCTGCAATTACAAGACACTTGCTGCCTAAAAATACAGTAAAAGTATAATAAGCTTAAGATACAATTAAGTATAAAAAAATTAAAATAGGTAAAGCCCAAATAAAACATACGGAATCAAGTCCCCCAAACCCTTGAAAATTACTAACTTTTAGCTGTTTTTGCTATTAGAAGATTATTCATTGTTGTTTGTTTTATCACCAAACAACAAAAGCAAACTAAAACAAAAATAAAACTAGGACTTCCAGGCCTGTCCCCATCCACAAAATAGTGGACAAATAGATGCTTCTCTTGGCATAAGAGCCGAGGTGGCGCAGTGGTTAAATGCAGCACTGCAGGCTACTTCAGCTGACTGCAGTTCAGCAGTTCAGCGGTTCAAATCTCACCGGCTC